CTTCTTGCCACTAGGCCAACAGAGCCCCATATGAGCAAGTTTTCTACTATATTAAAAGGCGTTTGATGGCTACGCTATAGTCTTGTTATATGGTGCCGAGTTGCCTGCGACCCACAGCGACCTTGTGTGTCCCTCTCATCTTACACACACCCCACTTTTCCCCTCACTACTTGGAAGTACCTGTATTTTAAGATATTCCAGAAAAGGAGATCAGCAGTATTTCATTATTTGACTACAATTTTGCAAAGATCAACTCTTGAAAAAGGTGGTCAACCAAGAACCTGGCTTGAAATTTTAGGTTATCCAATCATGTATTTACCAAGTACATTTATTACCATAAAGCCACAGATCTGGAATCGGCCACTGAATAGCCAATCCTGGAAACAAAGGTTAATATTGGGGGAAAGTCTTTTGATTCTATACCAGTTTATAAGAAAGGCAGCTCTGATGCCTTGGCGAGTAGAATGTGGCGCTTCCAACCCAAAGATGCTTGGTGTGAGTCCACCAGCTGCTCCGTGGAAGAAAGATGGGCAGTCTCCTCCTGTCCCGTTTACAGCCTCTGAAAACCTACTGGAGGGTCAATTCCAATTTAACGAGTTGAATATGGAAGAAATCAGTATGAGCTTTCCAAATACGCCTTTCTGGCTGTTTTGAAGGATTCTTTGTACATTAGCTGAAGACCTGGGGAAGAGTTCAAGTTCACTTAGGAGGGAAAGTTGGAAGTTATCCTAGAAAAAAAAGAAGGTACTGTTCATCAGGTGTGAGCAGCTGGCCATGGAGGAGGTCAGGGGGGTCAAGGTGAGTCCAGTGCTGCGGGCTCTTCCTCCTCGTGGCTCTAGGTTATGCAGTGACCACTCTTCTTCCCCTGCCGCCTTTCACACACATCAAAGCAGCAATTGTTACCATGAGGAACGAGCACCTGGACTTCCTCTATTACCTTATTATGTAGGTGTGTTTCTGGGCCTCGTGAAGACTTGTGATCAGACTTTATCTGAGTCTTAGGGGGAAAATACTTTGCTTAAGAAGGAAGGTAGCTTTACTCAGCTCACGGCATAAACGGGGCAAGAAAATGAGAAAGAAAGAAAGAAAGAGAAAGGAAGGGAGGGAGGGAGGGGAGGGAGGAAGGAAGGAAGGAAGGAAGGAAGCTTCTGCCTCACTGCAAACTACCCAGTTAATCATGTGCCTATTCACTGCCACTGAAAAGATCCTTCTGACCCAAGGTCTGACCATCAACTATGATGTTACTATTATGTTACCATTACATTACAGGCTGCAGGGTGGAGAGGCAACATCAACAAAGGGCTTCAGCCTGATACAGAGGTCTCTATCAATGGTTCTTCTAGATAAAAGAGGAGACAGATTTTCTTTTGAGATGTTATTTCACAATGTTCGTGTCACTCTATCGAGGGTAACTTGTTAGCTCCCCATTGCTTTCTTGTCAGCTGCATACCCCTCCTTAACCATTCTGCTTGTTTTGGTAACTCTAAGCTCATTGGAAGACTTTATCAGGAACTTCCTAATTGTTTACCCTGGTTTGCAAAACATCTTTTTGCAGGAATGAAACTCATCATTTTCCAGTAATAGAACCTTTTTTAGCTCTTTTTTTTCACCACTACATACCAGTAAATCAAAGATCAAGAATGTAATTCTCCTGTTGTTGTTGATTGCCTTCGAGTCAAGAATGACTCATAAGCGACCCTGTGAACAAAATACCTGAAGCTTTTCTATTACTCTTGTCATTTCTCAAAGTTCAGAGAGTTTCCAGAGGCAAGTTGTTTAGGAAGTGGATGCCACTCCTGTTTCCAATTTTCCTTTTAGCATATAGAAACATTGTTGTTGTTAGGTGCCATCAAGTCAAATACAACTTCCAGCAATCTTATGGACAGATCTGAACCCTGTCCCACCCTGGGCCAGCTTCACAATCTGCAGTCACTGTGTCAGTCCACCTGGTTGAGGGTCTTCCTCTCTGTTTTCTTCCCACGCATGGTATTTCTCTCCATCGAATAGCCTCTCCTACCAATATGTCCAAAGTAGATGAGATGAAGCTTCGCGATCCTTGCCTCCAAGAAGCACTGTGGCTGCACCTTCTCCAAGACCTATTTGATTGTTCTCCTGGCCGTGCATGGGATTCTCAGTGCTCTTCCCCAACAGCACAGTTCAGAGGCGTCGTGAAGACGTACAAATGTATTTTTTACTCAGTTACTAAAAAAATCAATCCAGTAAAAATCACAACTGGAAGAGATATGTCTTGAGTTTTCTGAGATGCATATTTACACTGTCACCAAATTAAAGAAAACTCCCATCACCCCAAAGCAATGCAGCCTTTGGTATGGATTGCATCTTAACGTCAGGAAAACAAAAATTATTACCACAGGACTGATAGGCAGAATCATGACAGATGGAGAGGAGGTTGAAACTGTCAAATCTTGGTTGAATCCACAATTAATGCCCCTGGTACCAGCAGTGAGGAAATGAGATGCATTTCACTGGGGAAAATCTGCAGTTAGAGACCTTTCCAAGTTACTGAGGAGTAATGCTGTGAGGAAATTTTAAGACTAAGGTGCATCTGATTCAGGCCATAGTCTTTCCAATTACTAGCCATGCATCTGAGAGCTGGACAATGAACAAGGATGACTGAAAAAAGAACTGACACCTTTGAGCTGTGGTGTTGGAGAAGAGCACTGAACATCCCATGGACAGCTAAGAGAATAGATCTGTCTTGGAGAGGGTACAGCTGGAGTGCTCACTGGAGGCAAGAATGAGGAAGCTTTGCCTCATAAACTTTGGACATGGTGCTAGGAGTGGCTATTCCTTGGAGAGGGACGATGCTGTCAAGAGTGGAAGGTCTGTGAAGGAGAGGAAGACCTTCAACCTTAGACTGATAGGGTGACTGCTGCAGTGGGCTCTTGTGTGTCAGGAAGTGTGAGGATGGTGCAAGACAGAACAGAGGTCAGATCTTTGTTCACAGGGTCGCTGAGTTGTGCTCGCCTGGACGGCACCTAACCACAGCACTTGTGCCGTGTGGTCAATCTCTTCTTTTACCATTTTCACGCCGTCATACGCACAGTCCTGGGAGTCTTTTCTAAAATGTGATGCCATCTTTGTAAAATGTGGTGGTCCCAATTTTTAGTTTGTCTTCCATATTTTAAAATATTTAACACACTCAATACACGTGGGACTATATGTTAACCCTCTTTAAGTGAAGGGTTACAGATTGTATTACTTTTTTCATACATTTATAGACATTTTGCCCATTAACTCTTCAAAACAAAGATTTCGTTACTCAGAGATATATATGAATTCACCCAACCCTCTAAGCTTCTTTGTTAAATATAAGTGATGATCGTAGTAGAGATCTCTGGTGGCCTCGTGGTAAGAATGTTCACTGCAGTCCAGAAGGCAAGCAGTTCAAATCCACCAGCTGCTCCTCAGAAGAACGGGCAGTCTCCTATGTGTTAAGTGCCTCTGGGAATCTGCAGGAGGGTCAGCTGTGAGTTGCTTCTAAATCAGTGGCACACAACAAAACCACAGTATGTGAAGGGCCTCAAATTAGGTGCTGGTCATCAATCAAATGAATCTTTTCAGTATTATTAAAAGTTCTATGGATGAAAGGAGAATGAATAAATTTTCCTCCTCATTCTTTTATCTACCTGGCAATAAAAGTATAATCTAGGCATGTAATATATATGAAAAGTAGGATTTTGACGTTTTAGTAGGTTAAACAAAAAGACCTCACTTTCTTCTGCAGATTCAATTTTTCCACTTTTAGAATATCTAATATACCTTCTTCTCTATGAATTGTCACTCAAAATATTTTCTGTTTGGGGATCAAGTTCAAATACATAGCAGAAAAATTTTCAAAGATTAAGCTCACCTTGATAACAGGACAGTCTGCTGCTTCCTCACCAATGAATGACTTTTACAGCAGCTCAACCCTCTGGGATTCAGGCTGGAAAATATTAAGTCTTTCAATCAAAAGTATGTTCACGACTTGAGAGCATAGCTCTGGCAGGCATTTGTTCCACGGCCTTTTGCATCGGTTCTTTAGGAAAAATAGCTGGAGACATTTCCCCGTAATCCCTGAGGAATTTGCTTCAGCCTCGATTGTATTGCTTTGGGCAAGACTAAGATGCACCTGATTCAGGCCATCATTTTTTTCCATCACTTGCTATGCTTCTGAGAGCTGGACAATAAATACAGAAGACAGAAGAACTGATGCCTTGGAGATGCTGTGTTGGAGAAGAGCAGTGACTAATTCTCGGCTGCCAAAAAAACAAACACGTATGTCTTAGAAAGGATGCGAACAGAGTACTCCCTGGGACCAAGGAAGACGAAGCTCCGTCCTGGTACTGTGGGCACGTTGCTAGGAGAGGCTGTTCTTTGTGAAGGGACATCACGCTTGGGAAGGTGGAGAGTCAGAGGAGGAGGAGAGCCTCTACCGAGATTCACTCCTATGCTGACTGCAGCAAAGGACCCGAGTTTATCGGAGATGTTGAGGATCGAGCCGGAGAGCAGAGTTCGGATCTCTTGTTCACAGGGTTACTGGAGGTCACACTCAGCCATGCCACAGGAGAGAAAACGCAGAGCGCCTCCAATCCATCAGTCCGGGAAACCTTAGGGGGCGATTCTACGCTGCCCAACAGGGGGGCGAGGCGTCACAACCCATGGTGACAGCAAAAGAGTTTCTGAGGAAAGGATGAGCGGGAAGACATTAACGACTATAAGTTTTACAAGTATTATGGAAGTACTTCTGTTTATTCTGAAAAGTATTAGGTAGGAATACACAACCTATCGGTGCACTTTAAGAATCATGTACTAATAAAGGCAAAAATAGAATTTTTAAAGATTTTTCTCCCACATGAATTTTCTACAGTTTCCTTTAAAAAAAGAAAACCCAGCACATTGCAGGATTCTCTGACTGAATGACTTTTCCGAGGCCTTTCCCGTGTGGTTCCATCTCCTGTGAAGTATGTTCCACGTGGTGTTCTAAAGCGGAGGGGTTACCAACAGCTGTCCCGCATTCCCGGCACACACGGCTTCTCCTGCGTGTCCTTGCATGTGGCTGGGGAAGGCTGCGGCCCGATGGAAGGCTCGCTGACCCGCCTGCGGCTTCGCCCCGCTGGGATGTGCTCATGTCTGTGCCGGTGGACACGCTGATCCAAGCCCTTCCCACGCTGCCTGCACTCATGGAGTTCCTCTCGGCTGGGGGTCCTCTCGTGTCTTTGCAGGGACTGGGGGTACGAGAACCTTTTCCCACATTCCTTGCACGCGTAGACGACCTGGCCAGGGTGGGTCATCATGTGCTCGTGTAAGGACAGTGCCCATCTGAAGGCTTTGCCGCAGTCCCTGCACCTGTACGGTGTGACTTCCCAGTGGGTCTTGCCATGGGTCCCCAGGGAGGACTGCCATCGGAACGTCTTCCCGCACTGTGGGCAGGTGTGGGGCGCCTCGGCGGGGTGTGTGCGCTGCTGTCTCTGCAGGCACAGGGGCCAGCGGCACGCCTTCTCCCCGCAGCCCCAGCGCCTGTGTGTCCGAATGGAGACCGACCACGTGAAGGCCTTCCCACAGCGCTCACACCTGTACGGCTTTAATTCCGGGCGTGTTCTCAGGTGTTTCTGGAAGGAGACCAACCACGTGAAGGCCTTCCCACAGCGCTCACACCTGTACTTCTCTCCCACGTGTATTTTCAGGTGTGTCTGTAAGGAGACGGGCCACTTGAAGGCCTTGCCGCACTGCTCACACTCGTAGGGCTTCTCCCGGCTGTGTGTCCTCATGTGTCGTGTGAGAGACGAAGGCCATTTGAATACTTTCCCACATTCCTGGCACTCGTTCAGTCTCCCTTTACTGTGAGTCCTTTCATGCCTTTGAAAGGAGTCTAGAAACCCGAAGGTCCTTCCACACTGCGCACACACACGGGGCTTCTCTTTGTCATGCCTTCGACAGGATCCAGAATGAACACACGTTTGCCAGCACAGTTCACATGAAGGTCTTACTCCACGGCGGATCTTCACGGGTCCCGTCAGCTCTGATGGAAAGGTAAAGTCCCCATCAGACTCTGGACACGGATCAGGTCTGTGTCCCCCGTGGGCTGCCATGTGCCTCTCAGAGGACGCAGGATGCGCGAAGACCTTTCCACACTCCGGACACTGGTCTGGGTCAGCGCCGACGGTCGAAGTCCCGGCCAGACCAGGACTGGGGATGTGACCGCAGGCTCCTCCCCGGTAAGAACCGGCCTCAGTCTCACAGAGTCTCTCCACCATGTGATCTCTGCGACGACACAGAAACATGCTATTAATAAGCTAAACATGAGCCAACAGCGATCAGAATGTCACTAATGTCACTGTAACCATTTTCCTAAACCAATACACCCTAGATCTTCCCTACATGAATTGTCTGGGAGTGGACAAAGCGGAATGCTCTGAAAGAAGACCACAGCCGTCTGTTCAAACAGTGTTTTGAACATAAACGGAGCTTTCTGATGACTCTAAGAAACAGACTTTTCTTTTAAACACTCACCGGTTCCCAATTAATGGCTGCTGTGAGAATGTCCTGTCAGGAAGTGAAGTCAGAGCTAGACACAGATGAGGAGGGCTGGAGTCTTACTTGTACGTTTCTTTCAGAATTCCAATCAGTGAGGGTCTTCTCGGGGATGCGCCACTCCCTTCAGTGTGGGCTACTCACCTCAGAGGTACGTTCCGCTTCATGTGTTCATCTTCAATGCTAAGGCCTTCCCGAATTTTTCCCAAAATGGAAGCCCAAGAATCATGATTTCTATGTTTTCTGGTTTTATCTTCCTTGGATATTTTTTCCTCATGAGTAGACTCTTGAGAAACTGACTCAAAGGCCTTAAGTGGAGTTTCATCATCTGAAAGCAAAAGGTGAACAAATCAGATGTGAAAGGGAGCGCCTGCTGGCAAAAACAGTAAACAAATCTTCCGAGACAGGAGGCTCCTACCGGCCAACAACAGCCAGGACAACCAGTGGGGATGTTTAAAGCTGCCATCCACAGGAGGCCCAGGGGTCGAAGCAACTTCAGAGACAAAGAAAATTCTCACAAAGTTCTCAAGTATAAACATTTCTGGAATAATGTCCTGTGAAGCCCATATCCACACAGTCAAGCAGATTCAAGTGTTTTATCCACAGAGTAGAAACTCAGTTTGCATAGATTCTCATCATTGTGGAGAAGCACATGCGACTCGACCTCTACGGCGGTGGTGATCAGCTCTGTCTTACTGACCCCTGAACTGGCCTGGTGAGTGAAAAGAGCCTGCTTGCTAAATAACTAAGAAGCTATGCTGTCCTTACCGACTGATGCCAAGTTCCTGACGGTGTCCAGCATCACATCCATGTAGAGCGTCCTCTGAGCCGGACCCAGCAAAGCCCACTCCTCCTGCGTGAAGTCCACAGCCACGTCCTTGAAGACCACCGTCTCCTAAAACACAGGACATGGCCATGCAAGAGTGTAAAGGTGACTGCACTAGGGGGCTGGATGCAATCCGCAGAAAGTTGAACAAGATTGTGAAACCTCCTAAAACCATCCTGTCATCAGATCTCTGTTTATATACACACACTCAGAGACTCAGTAGACAGCTCACACATGGGACTTGTCTTCACATTTTCATTTATTTCTCTCTATTCTTGTCGTTGTGTGCCGTCGAGTCGCTTGCGACTCATAGAAACCCTATGTACAACAGCCCTAAACCCTGCTCTGTCCTGTGCCAATTGCACTGCTTCTGACACACCCATCCTGATTACCCCAGTCACTGAATCAATCCACCTCATAGAGGGCCTTCCCCTCCCGCGCTGTCCCTCCACCCTCCCAAGCATGACGTCCCTCTCCAAGGACTGGTCCCTCCTTACAACATGTCCAAAGTATGTCAGACAAAGCC